GGATTATTTTACAAGAACACTAGAGATGAAACTTTGGCTTCAGAGGTGTGGATTGGATACCATGCATGTCTTGAGAAGTTGGTCCCTAATTCAGCGACGATAGATCAAATAGGGGAGGAGTTTGGTAGGTACTCACAAGCAGAGGGCCTATTTGGTTTACAAGCGGCCATTAGAGCCAGAGACATAAGGTCGCCAGGTAACTAACTTTAATATAGATATCCTTATAACTTTAAATTAATTTATTTGATTTATACTTATTAACTTTTAAAATATTTTTCTATAGTTGAATGGTGGAAGCAATTTGGACATCAAACTCCAAACTTGCAAAAGTTTGCCATCAAAGTACTAAGCCTAACTTGTAGTGCATCTGGATGCGAGAGAAATTGGAGCGTATTTGAGCATGTAAGAAGTAGATTTATTGTATTAATATATTTTATATTGTATTATTATTAGTATCGATTAATTAATCTAAACAACTTATGCGCAGATTCACTCCAAGAAAAGGAATAGGCTTGAGCTATCGCGTCTCAATGATCTAGTGTATATTAAATACAATAGAACATTGAGGCGACGTTATGAAGCTCGCGATACCATTGATCCAATTTTGTTGGACAACATTGACGAGGCAAATGAATGGTTAACTGGAGCCCCCCAAAATCATGAAGATGAACAAGTGTATGAAGGAGATGATCTTGATTGGGGTACTGTTTCTATGGCGGTTGGAGTTGAGGAGAATATCTATGGTCTTAGAGGGAGTTCTTCAAGTTACAAGGGAAAGGGAGTAGCAAGTTCAAGCCGGTCCCTAATTGATGAAAACTCCGAGGATGAAGAAGATGATAGCCAATATAATGCTAACATTCATGAAGTTGTAGAATTTGAAAATCTTGAAGAAGAATAGACGTTGCTTGTTTTAGACTATTAGACTTTAGTTTATGAATCTACTATGAGTCTATGACTATCTATTGAGTCTTTAATTTTTGAATGATATATTTATTAATATATTATTGTTATTGAGTTTTTAGTTATATGTATATAATATTTTATGTTTTTGTATAAATTGTCGCTTCACATCAAAAAGGCGAGCGCTTCGCTACGCGCCTCTTGCCTCAGTGAAGCGGGCCCTCATCGCTATTTGACGCCGCACGCTATCCAAAACACTGCTTTCTGCTTGTTATTGGGTTATTATTATTATTTACATAATTCATGCTTATTCAGAATTCTGTATTTCTTTACTGTTGGCCCATAATAAGTGTCGATGCCGACCCCTCGTCACTACTTCTTCGAGGTTAGACTTGATACTTACTGGGTACATGTTTTTATGTACTCACGCTACACTTATGCACTAACCGTGCAGGATCTGAGGCAGGTGCATCTGGCGGTCAAACCGGCGCACATCCCCGATACCCTGAGGCCTAGCGGTGAGCTGCTTCCTGAGCCGTTGTGCAGCACCTAGAGCCTTTCTTTTGTACTTATTTTCTGTCTGTGTTATTTCGACAGTAGTTAGAGTTTTGTATATTCTACTAGTGCTCATACACTTGTGACACCAGGTCTTGGCACACACTCTAGTAGACTTTATGGTTTTGGAGTATTTATATGTCTATAATTGCACTCAGTTGTTTTCGTTTTATTTATTAAACTTCCTACTTCTTAAATCTCTTAATAAATGAAATTTAATTACTTGGAAACCTATTAAAAGGAGTAATCACGTAGTTATTTTCATTGTTGGCTTGCCTAGCGGCGACGTTGGGCGCCATCACGGCCTATAGGAGAATTTGGGTCGTGACAGTGCCCCACAGATATCTTCGGATGGAAAGGAGGCATGATAGCAAGCGCAACACAGGTTGATTGCTGCTATGGGTGTGTCTCTGAATATTCATTAATCATGTATAATTCTATTCCGCCTTGTAAACTTGATCAAGGGTGTCAAATGGGTGGGTTGGGCTACATATTGGCAGGTTAAAATAAGTTGAATTAATAAATGGGTTGGGTTTAACCCGTCAAAATAGGCATGTCAATTTGGGCTAAACAATGGATCACAACCCAACCTGCCAACTCAAAGGCTTTTCTCACTGTTTGTTTGTTCTTCTATAATTTGTTTAAATACCAACTCGAATTAATAAAAGTTTTTTCTTTATTTAGCATGACTACTTCAAAGTTCAAAGAAAATAACATACCAAACTCGAAAAACTCATTTTTCTATGTTTTGATAAGTTTTCTTATGAATCAATTTGGGCTCCATATGCAACCGAAATTGTTCAAAGCTTTTAGATTGGCTAGCTTGGGCTATGCCCAAAATAACCACCACTAAGCAAATGTCCTGCCCAATCCGCCCAAGTCTAGATGGGTTGGATGGGTTATTCTTTCATGATTAAATTTGACATCCCTAACCTTCATCCACACCTCTGTGAGACAGTGACCATTAAAGCAGTGAACTTCTCGAACTAAGTAGAGGGTCCTCAGAATTTCTATTTAGTGCCCATCCCCTAGGCTACTCTAATCTTACATAGTTGTAAGATTAGAACAAAGAAGACCCAATCCCAGGAGGCCATGTTAAAATCCAACATGCACCTAGAAATGAGTATGCAATGAAGCATTAACAAAGCTAACTTTGCCGGGAAGATTTTAGCAATTCTAACTTATAATTGAGCGCTTGCAGATTATGATGGTCAAATTAGCTCGTATAGCAAGCAATTCTATTGGTGACAGACATTTTCTGGGTGAGATGTATAAAGAATTGATGACATTCCGAGAAAAAATATACTTGGCAAGCACTTTATAGCTACATTCAGTGAAAAGAAGAACCAAGGTTGTGTGTTAAACTTTAATCTTTACATTACTAGCACAAAATGAGGTAAAAGTCAAACTGCTTTATCACCTATATACATAATTTTAGCATTTACCACCTAATGAACACTAGGATTCATACATTGACATGTCAGATTACCTGTAGAGGTAGGAACGTGCAATGCATGATTCAAAAATCTAGTGAATTATGTTTCTGATATACTATCTCACGCTAACTAAAGAATGTAATTTCATGCAGTTGGATTTCTTAGAATCTTAACTTAACTAAAGGGATAGGAGGAAAAGTAAAAAACCCAAATAAAGGTAAATATTTATTATTATTTTTCTTATGAGGCATGAGCCAGATAGTAGGTTCAGTAAAAATGGGAAGAATATCCAAACCTCAAGTATGTCCTCATCTTCAGTGCACCAACAACATCTGACCTCACTATTTGCCCGTTGCTGTTTACAAGTATATTAACACTCTCTACGACATCCAAAAACACCTGAAAGAACAGCAAACTTCCATGTAGCCCACTGAAGAAAGGAATTCCTCTTAAATAAACATGTAAACCTACTTCATTTTTCTTATAGCGTATCCCTTCACTGCGCCAGGAGACAGCATTTGTAACTGCCATTGGAGGCCTCTGTGTAACCTCCATCCTATATGCATCAGTTTTGATAAACTCACTGAGAATCTTTGCTTCAGTGTATTGAGGATAACCAAAGTCCATCATTTCGTCAAGTAGCTCATACTGCAAAAGGCAACATCAGCTCAGTCAAAATTAGCCAACATGATGATAATTTCCTATCGAACTTTTGATCTTAAAGACACGTGAAAATTCCCCATACCACAACAACAAAATTATCGCGAAGCGATTCCTCTTCTAACTCTTCAAAGTAATGCTTGAATACCTGCCAAAAAGGTAAAAGAAAAAATGATAACTCTTCCCAAGTTCCAACTAAGAAAACAATTACCCCCTCTGCTTCGTTTTACACTGTATTGTTACTATTATGAGGAGTCAAACAGAAATTTTCTTCCATTTTAAGAATATTTTTAACGATAAAATACTCTGATGTATACCATATTTTATATAGGAGTAGTTCATAATATGTAAATTTTACTTTAAAAATTAAAGGAATTGATGTCCAAATAGAGACCGAAAATTGAATGGGTTGACCCTACTTCAAAGTCCGCCGTTCTTTTGTAACTGAGGGAGTACATGATTTCGGATTAACACAGTTAGAGGACACATCCTCAAATATCTACATTAGAACTTACGTCTACAACACGGTGTAGAAACAGAAGGAGACTAGCCGCATTACAGTTCTGTCTCGATGCAGTCATGAGATACACATTGTTATGCTGTATAAACATGTAGGTCACGCCATTATCATATGCGACAGGATCCTGAGGATCACCCTGCAATGGATCAAATCACATAAACAATCAAATTACACAGCAAACCATAAACTTCTCAAGCTGCAATTATAAGTCAAAAACAATTCAACAATAATAATGAATCAAATATAAGTCCTTGAACCTATGCTTGCACAAAACTGCTTTAGATTTGAAGCTCTAAATTTCAAAGAAGTAAAATCATCAAAAGAAATTCTAACCTCCTTCTCTAATCTATTAAGCTTAATTGCATAATTTCAAAATCAAGCTATCAACTTTCACTCCCCTGAAGTCAAATAAAACTCCAATTTCAGATGAAGCCATTTATAAACGCATCAATTATGAAATCTTGAACAGAAATGTTACCTCTTTTTCAATGAGCTTGGTGAAGAAGCGTTCGGCCTGAACGGATGAGACGTCGCCGCGGTAGTCACGCCAGACGAGAACCCGGCCTTTGATGTCGAGGAGGAACAGCGCAGAGGCCGCCCCTGCCATGTGATTCTACTACTACGGATTGGTTCCGATCAAAATCGACGGATCGGAAAAGCTGTCGGAGATAACCTTTTTCCGGTGGAGATCTACTGGTGTTAAGAGTTAAAACGGTCAATTATTAGCTCCGCACTGATCCATTTTTGTAACATGAAAATTTTCATGTGAAGGATGGGTTTTGAGATTGAAATTGACTTCCGATCAAGTTTGTTGTCATGTGCTACTTGTGCAATCATATTTGGGCCGTATCGGGTAATATTGTCCAACTGATAACAAGTCGGGTGCACAAAATAGTGGTTTTTAGGACCCATATTTAAAGAATAGCCAAAATTTGTGAAATTTTTTAAAAATTTAGGGTGTGTTTGATATGAAGCTAGAAAATGTTTTCATGGAAAATAAGTGGTTTTATCACTTATTTTTCTTATTTGGTTGATGAGTTATTTGGTTGGTGAGTGAAAAATATTTTCTATTGCTTGGTTAGAGAGTACAAAATATGTTTTAGGAAAATATTTTTTTATGCTACTCTCCTCACCCCATTTCCCCCAAATCCCCATGTTTCCTTGCTCCCTCCCCNACTTTGGGTCAGTTTCATTATGTGGAAACTTTGGAGAGAAAATGAACTTGATCAGCTGATCCTACACTTCCCACGTTTTGCAATGAATAGGGGCAGAGCTACATGGTCTGAAGGGATTTCAATTGAATTCCCATCATTGAAAATTAAACCGCAAATTGGGTAAAACAAATTGTTCTTTTATACATATAAATTGTTAAACCCTCTTGACATAAGGAAAACTTCTAATAAAGTGGAAAGATGGTTCAAGAACTGCATTCGGCCACAGGTTGGAATCCGGGGTGTGGCATTCTCGCATTTTCTTAATCCCCTTAGTAGAATTTTTGGCTCCACAACTGGCAATGAAGGCAAATTTTACTATTCTTGCAAAACTTAAAGGAAAATGGAACAAGCCCAAACTATCTTCAACACATTTGCAAATTTTACTCTATTGACCAAATATTTCAGCTTCCCTTTTCGTCCACTTTCTTTCGCAGGAAACAGGCTTTCCTGTGCTTTCTTGATAACCAAAAATAACATTAAAGTCTAATGAAAGTTCATTTATCTAATGTATAGGGATGTGATGCATCACTATTCCTAGACCAGACACCAAGTGGGGCAAGGGTAGAGAAGCTCGCCAACTCCAATGGACCAACAGTTAGGGGATTTGATCTCATTGACGAGATCAAGGCTGAGCTTGAGGCAGAATGTCCCGGTGTAGTCTCGTGCACAGATCTTTTGGCATATTTATCAAGGGATGCCTTTGTTGTATCCGGTGTCCCTCACTACGACGTGCCTGGTGGACGTCGTGATGGAATGGAATCCCTTGAAGCAAATGTTCCCGGCAACCTCCCACTTCCTGATAATACAGTGGATATGTTGATTGACCTCTTTAAAAGGAAAGGCCTGAATGAAGAGGATTTGGTGGTTTTAATTGGTGCCCACTCCATTGGAGTAGCCCATTGTTTCAGCTTCCTTTACAGATTGGATAATCCTCAGAAGGCGGCCATGGTAGATCCAAGGCTCGCTGGAGTTATGAGATTCACATGTACCAACCAAATGAATACTTTGGCTTTTGATACCACCACACAGTACAAGATGGATTCTATTTACTACAAGCAGCTGACTGAAAAGAGAGGACTACTTGAATCAGATGTGCTTTTGAGTGAAGATCCCAGAACAAAGGACTATATCCAGAAGTTTGGTCATGACCAATCAGGATGGTTCAATAAGTTGGGCAAGGCCATGAACAAGTTGGCTTCAATACAAGTGCTCACTGGTGACCAGGGGCAGATCAGGAAACAGTGCAGGGCTGTTAACTGAAAAACTGGATATAAGGCTCTCCATCAAAACAGAACTGGTTCCTCTCTTTTTTGTTTTAACCAACTTTTACTTAGTAGCTCATAGGACTAATATAACAAACATACAAATGGTGCATGGGAGATGAGACTTGCTCATCTACAACAAATTAAACAATACGTGCAAAGCAAGTCCTTATCTAAAATGAGATCACAATTTTGTACTTCCCAGTTCTACGTAAGATAGCTAATGTAATTGCTTCAACAGACAATGCACGGAAAAAAATTCTCTTGTACAACTGCTTGCTTGTTTTGATGTGTTCTGTGAGCAAATTGGGAAAGAAAATGAAAAAAGCCTCCCATGTTTGAAGAATTAATAGGTAATCAGCTATGACTTTTTTTTTTTTTTTTTTTTTNTTGGGAAAGAAAATGAAAAAAACCTCCCATGTTTGAAGAATTAATAGGTAATCAGCTATGATTTTTTTTTGCATCACCTCTGGTGCAGCTACAGCACTGTATTATCTCCCAATTCACGGATGACTTCCTCAACTTTGACCAGCATATCTATCAATATCAGTAATTCAGCAAATTAGTACTCTAAACCAGTCATATCAGCATCTGCATGTAGCTGCTTCTTTTAACAGTGAGTGATTTTTTTACAACTCGTACATATTACTTAGCAACGCTTTATTTTACCATGGTTTGAATAGTAATCAACTTCAAGAACAGTGACTTTAAGGCTTTTCCATCCATTAAAAGGAAAAAGTAAATAAATTTTAAAAACAAAAAAAGAAGGTATTTTCAAGTAATGTGCATGCTCCATCGACCAAAACCTAGAAAAGGGGCATTAGTATTTAAAGACATACCTTGGAATGAAGAATCTTCTAGATATTTCTGCAAGACAATAAGCAGGTGGATCATACAAATGGAACACAGTTATGAGCCGTCCAGCCATTTAAAAAATTTCAGCGAAGCAGAATGTTAGTTGATCTCTATAAAAGATATAGACAGAAACAATACCGCAATTTGGTCTTTAAGGTCAACCTCCTTCGTCGTACTCGACTGTGCAACAGCAACTGCATTCAGTTAACAATTATTAATGGTGTTTAGTTTTGAATCAAAAAGTGGGGAACTTCATGAAAAGTCGACTGATGAGAACCACCTTGATCAACTTCAGGGCCGCAGTTCATCAAGAAGGACGTGAAACTGGGAGGAAAAGCTGAAAGAATCTCCTCAGCTTCGCGATTTAGTCTCATTTCCTCTGTATGTGAACCTTGAGAAAATCCAGGTGCCCAGGTCACTGGCATATGATGGGAACTAGAGTCACCTGAAGCTGTATATATCCATCCTTCATTGTCCCTGACAAAATCAAACCTTATGTAAATTGTACTTTAATATCCTAATTGGCTAAACTCACGGGAGGATGTGTCAAAGCAACTGCAGTAATCAGTATATGTCACCTTTGTGAAGCTCCACCGAAAGGAATAAACTCAGATTGAGAAGATATCACTGAATCAAATTCAAGACACGGAAGAGCAGGAGGACTTGCACTGTCCAACTTTCCCTAAGAATTTTACATACGAAAAGCACGTGAAGGAAGAAAGTTGTATATTGTAAGTGAACTCGTAGAGAGAATCATAGAGAATTATGCACCTTTAAAACATTCATGAAATTCTCTATCTCGTAGATTGTCAAGAACCGCAGGACGAATTTCTGAATCTGCAAAAATAACAGGATAATTGAAGTCCAACATTAGTGGTTTTATCATAGGACCTTTCCACATAGTTCTCTGTATCAGGATTAGCAGAAAAGAAGTCTCAGACCATCATATATTCCACTTTGAGTTCTTTCAGTGTGCCCTTTATATGACAAAGCCTCAATAGAATAATGTCCTAAGTTTGAAAGCTAAAGCAAACATTACGACTAGGAAGCTTGAGTAAATGATTCAACGCGTGTAACAGCTCTGTGAAGTGAACTTCCCATGATATATGCTCTCAGAGGGCCTGTCTATTATCTTAAGTACCAGATGGTACAGAGCTTGGATAAAATGCAGTAGTCAAGTTAGAGAGCCCGAGTCTCAAATGCTTCAAAGTCTTAAAGAAAAGGATGTCATCACTCCCACGTCATAGTATTGAAACTTCAAGTTATGCACCTAAAAGATACTTGTTCAGAACAATTAGCTTACTGCATATAATACACGTGTATCTCCAGAAAACTAGCTACTTCAAGTTTCTTCCATGCAACTTTTCGTTCTTATTTTAACTTCATTTAATGCTCCATTCGCCTCTTTGCATTGGACATTTGGAGCGTGAGGGAGGTTTGCCTGTCCCTAGAGCTACTTTCATTTTAATCTGATTCTTAATCTCGTTACTTCTCTACACAATAGTTTTCCTGGAAAGAAGAAGTTTCAGCTGAAAACAATGGGGGTTTAAAGAGAGCATGAGGTTAATCACACTTATAGCAAATTCATTAATGACTTCACAAAGACTAATTAATGAGCTCACCTGGCCTACAGAATCCCTATAGCTCACAAAGACAGCTCTAGTTCCCCTTGTTGGAAAACCTGACACACATGAGACCTGAGGCCATGAGAACATCAGCCTCGAAACGTAATGCTCTTCCTGCAAGAAGTAAATAATGAAACCAAAAAAGGTCAGAAACACGGAACTATTCTGTTAGCCTCTCCATGCAGAAAACTTGATAACTGTAACATTGTCTAAGAGCTTATGAACCACAGCAAGTGACATCCATTGTTTTGCAGAACTATGAGACAGCTAATAAAAATCAGAACTGATAATGCACAAGACTAATGCTCGTGCGCTTTGCTGTGTAATCTCTTTAAGCTGTGTAAGACAAGTTTATCTAACAAACAAAGGGTAACACAGGTGCCACTATGCTACCAAACAGAGAACTAATACATCAAGAGTACACTGCGTCCCTAGTACTCAACGAAAAAACTGGCATAGGCCCTCCCCTGCAACAGTTTTCTACAGTGCGCTTAAGCTATTCATATTACCTATGGATTTCTCTGTACCCATGACATTTTTACCATCAACTATGTAATTTACCCTCTGGGAAAAGACAGCATTATTGTTTGCCCAGAATGGCACGAAGAAATTGCTTTTATTAAAGCATTGTTGTGTTTATCAACAGAATGAATACCAGTTCTCCAACACAGAAAAAGTGAGATTGCATCAGAAGATCGAGTATCAACAAGTTCAAGCAAAAATTGACTCTAAAACTCAAAGTTACATTTATGTTTAATAAACAATTACTATATCATAAATTTCAGAATACATTTCGACTTCAACTAGATCCTTCAGAAATTCAGCTAACAGAAGTTCAATACAAAAGAAGAAGAAAGAAGACAAAACATAACGGTAAAATGGAAAGAAGCAATAGACCCTTATAATGGCTCTGTGAGCTAGAGCGAGCACAAGGATGAAACCGCGACAAGAAGAGAAAGCATATCATAAGATCGAGTATCAATAAATTCAAACTAAAATTAACTACACTATACAATTGAGAGCTCTCAGTAAACTAAGATTGCATCATAAATTCACAATCAGTGACAACTAACAATCAAATTCAAAAAGTTATGCATTGTCCTTTTTTATTTCAACTCATCCTTGAGCAAGTCAGCAAACAAATATATGAATCCAAAGAGGAAAAACGAAAACAAAACCAAAGCAGTTACATATTATTTTTCAAAAAAGTAAAATAGCGGGAAAACAGAAAGAAGCAGTATCTCTCACGAGGACTCTGTGAGCGCTGTCGAAGATGAGAATCAAAATGACTGAAGTTTCTCCATTGACTTCCAACTGATAGGACTGCCCCCAAGTAGCACAATATACCCACTCACAAACTTTCTTGTATCAGGGCAAGCAACCCAATCTGAATCACAATATGCACTGACAGTGTAGTTAGGATCATTGGATAGAAATATTCCCAAAGTAGGATCTTTCTTCAAGTATCTAAGAACATGTATGGCAGCCTTTAGATGAGGTTCTCTTGGTTCCTGCATGAACTGGCTCAAATGTTGAACACTATAGGCTATGTCCAGTCTAGTATTTGTCAGAAAGTTTAGTTTCCTAACTAGTTTCCTGTAATACCCTGGATCAGACAATAAGGCTCCATCTTCACTCCTCAATTTGATGGTAGAGTCAAGTGGAGAGCTGACAGGAGAGTATGTCAAGCAGTCATACTCCTTTAGTAGGTCCATAGTAAATTTTCTCTGGCAAACCAGTACTCCATCAGCCTTATACAACATCTCTAGCCCCAAGAAATAATGTAACTTCCCAAGATCCTTTATCTTGAATTGGTTGTGCAGGAATGCCTTCAATTCTTTGATTTCCTCCAAGTTGGTCCCAGTAATAATCACATCATCCACATATACAGCCACAAAGACTGCTGAGGTCCCCTGTTTCTTGTAGAATAATGAGTAGTCACTAGCTGAATGTTTGAAACCCCTGGAATGCAGGGATTCTGTCAACTTATCATACCATTGTCTGCTTGCCTGTTTTAGACCATATAATGACTTTCTAAGCTTGCATACTAGATTTCCATTAGGTACCATCAGTCCTTTTGGAACTTCTATATACACTTCTTCATGTAGATCCCCATGAAGAAATGCATTGTTAACATCTAGTTGATATAGGTCCCACCCTCTCTTTACTGCAATGCTGATCAGTGTTCTGACTATGGTCATCTTTACCGCCGGTGAAAAAGTCTCTGTATAATCGATTCCTGCTTCTTGTGTGTATCCCTTCACCACTAGCCTTGTTTTGAATCTTTCCACACTTCCATCAGCCTTGTGTTTGATCTTATATACCCATTTACAACCTATAGCTTTCTTTCCTGCAGGCAGTTCAACTAAATCCTAAGTATGGTTAGCATATAAAGCTTCAAATTCCTGTGTCATTGCCATTTGCCATGCAGGATTCATGGATGCCTCCTCATAAGAAGATGGCTCACAATCATGTGAAATGTTTCTAAGCAATTGCTGACTTTCAGAATGCAAGACAT